CCAGGGCCCCTCCCGGTGTAATTGCTACCTGAAATGTTTTTTAGGTTTGGAAGGTCCTGTTCTCTCTAGTTTAACTGAAAACGGCCCAAAATGAGATCCCAATTGTGCTGATGATGCTCCTGTACGAGGCGCACGCGCGCGCGCGCGCGCCCCTCGTACAGAAGCATCATCAGCACCATTGGGAACCCATTTTGGCTTAATTGGGACCAGGAGAGGTCAAAAGCCCAAGAACAGCCATCAAAGTACGAAGGCGGCAGGGCCGGCCCCTGCCGCTAGGCCTAAAATCCGGCCTGGCCGTCATGCTCTAGTGCGGATGCACGCCTAGCTAAGCTATGCTGATGAACGGCGACGTGACTCCCGCTCCCTCCCTTGGAGGCCCTGGAGGCGTGGTTTTGGGGATCAAAAATTACGTTGAATATTGGCTGTGTTGTTGAAGCTTCCCCCCCGCTACGCAAGGTTTTGGGCACTTTGTCAGGCCAGCATCATCAGCAGTCAAGAAGGAAGTTGGAGGCCAAAACGGGCCCCATGATGCTCATGATGCTGGCTCTTGCGGGGGTTGCTGGGACCTGAAAATGCGTTACAAACCCAACAAAATGCTCAAAATACACGCTGTGGGCAATGATTGCGGCTGTAAATACCAGTGTTGGTAGGACCTGCACTGTATGACAAGCATGAGACGGGTTTGGCGTGCATTGCACGGGCCAAACCCCATAAACTGTGCATGTTGCATGGTGTTCGCTGTGTTTTGCCCATATGTCCAGCACTTTTGTGACTCCTAAGCTTGTCCAATACATGAAATGTGCATGCTGATTTGCATGAAACTGCCCTTGCGGGCTAGAATCTAGAACATGGTCAACCTGCGCAGAGAACCATGTTCAAAGTCGTCTTTGATGGCTTTTCTTGGGTTTATGACCCCTCCTGGTTCCGATTAATCCGAAACGGGGTCCCAATTGTGCTGATGATGCTTCTGTACGAGGCGTGCGGGCGCCGCTCGTACAGGAACATCATCAGCACAATTGTCAGCTAAACTAGATAGAACAGGACCTTCCAAACCTTAAAAATATCCCAGGTAGCAAGAACACATTTGTTCGTACATTTCTCTCAATCAGGAGCATCAGGACCAGTGTGACAATCTACCCGCTTCCACATTGTTTTTGCTCACCTGCTGATCAGAACAGAGAATGAGACAAACGGAATTACGGTTCAGAAAAAAACACCGCCTGTGTTTATACAGGAGGCTAACTCAAGGAAATATAACTCGAGAACTAGTTAGAACCATGCAGTTTCAAACTAGATTTGATTGGTTGGAAGAATTTCCTGGCAAGTTAACCGATAACAAAAAGGAATTGCGTTCGAGACAAGAGAGGGTGCATCCAAGTATTTTCGTTCGTACACCTTTCGTGATAGGTACTGTAGTATGTCAGGCCGGACATATTTTGTATGTGCTCGGCCTCACACCCTTCATGATTAGGGGGAATCGAATGAGGACTAGTACTCCAAAGTCTGTTCATAAGCTGCAGAGCATTGTTGTGATGAGACATTGAAAGGACATTTCACTTCCCATCCCACACGGAAAGCTGTGTTTTTCCACTTGCATGAAACAAACGGCAACCAAGATGATCACCGTAGAGACCCAAGAGGATTTCTAACCTTGGTTCTCCTAGCCTGGCAACACCTCCTCGAACGCATATCTAGTGAGACGACCGGCTACGCAGCATTGAGGTTGTGGGAGCCTGAGTTGTATTTGATTTGTGCAAGAAACACCAAAGGGCTCAACTGTTGTTGCGCATTTTATCCTGCTTCCTGGCCTGCCCAAGATATGTGGAAGATCCACGAAACGAACGCGACCAACAGGCATCAGTTGTAAGAAACGAACCCATCTTCTCAGCAAATACAACTGTCCTTCGCATCCTGAGCCTGCTGAGGCACTTCGCTGCTGTGCTCTCCGATCTCGGCTTGGGCTTGGGCTTCAGCTCTCTCCTGGGGCCAGGAACTAGAAGAACAGGACAAATCTGCAGCGAGATCTCCATCCTTCTCTTCCCGCTGCTTCTTCGTAAGAATTGGCAGCTGCAAGGCACCCTGCAGGTTCTCAATATCTTCCTGCGAATGACGAGCATACTGTCGCTGTGCCTAGCATTTGAATCGACAACTGATCTGTCCCGCAGTGAAGTACATTCTGTTTCGATCTCCTGTTCTCAGAGGGTAACAGATGGAGAGGCTTTTTGCGCTGCAATCGAACCTGGAACTTCTGCTGTCTCTCGACTGGATCACTGCTGACCACAATCTCATCGAAGAAGCTTTCCTGAGCACGCCGTGCACTAGTCCAGCACACCAAGAGCCATGCGACAGTAATGCAGGCATCGAATTGCCAATTGCCGAGCAGAGTCTGAGCCGCCTAGCTTCTGATCGAGGTCCTTGAGCAGCCAGGCTCAAAGAGCTGGGCCCCCAAAAGAAATGCTGCGCCTTGCGGACATCCTCCAGCTTCAGCATTCCGTTCCTCACTTTCTTCCTTCCTAGCCATGGTCGAAGTAAAGGCAACAACACATGTACGATGTACCCTTGTCGTCACTGTATCACAAGTACACGGCAGCGGCACCACCCGGGCGGTTGAAGGTGCCTCAGGCTTGGAATTAGAGGTCTGCATGGTGTAGCATGTTCTACTACTTCCCCATGCAAACTCACCCCATGCAGCATAGACATGCCTTCGCACCAAAATTGGAAGAAGGAGCGCAAGAATGCGCGGGGTTTGGGGTTTGGGTTCAGACCTGTTGCCTCAGGTTGCAGGAGCAGTCCTCCGCAAATGTTTGTGCACAGGCTGGTGTTAATGCAAGCGGTCAGCTTCTCCCGCTGAATGAGGCCATGACTGTACGCCAGTGAGACACTCTCTGCAAGTGCTTCGTCTTCCAGCATCAGCTGTGCCAGAACAGTTTGCATCTGCTTGACCACTGCCTCAACACAACATCGTAGAAGCAACTTCTCAACTTCGTGAAGACCAAAATCGGCCTCGCTCACCAGCAAGTAAGAAGGATCCTGCCAAACACTTAGCCGTGATGTCCAAGTTTGCTCGTTGCACATCTGCTGAGCTCGCAACGTCCGCTGGCGGGATTCGGATCTTCTTGCTCTTGAACTTAGGACATGAGGCACATAGCCGCAAAGCTTCCCGCCAAGACTCCGCGGCTTGCCGGTTTCCAAAGCCATGTCTGTGTCCGTTCATCTGGCCGCCAGGCTGCTGCTGCGCTATTGAAGAACAACTTGGCTTTCTCCACCGCGTCTTCCAGGGACTGCGCGAAAGGCATTGGCATTGCACATGGGCTTTTTCCAGGGGCACTGGAGCTGGCCATGCAAGGTTTCTGGTCCATTCGGAATTCAAGAGCCTCCAAATTTCGGCTGCCCATAGCCTCAGAAACGGCAGCCGTTAAGCTGAGTGAAGCCCGGACTGATGACTTGCGAGGTAGCAGCAATCCTCCCGGAGAGCACTTGCCCTTCCTCTTGCTGAGATGAAATGATTGACAATACCTGCGCAAGAGCGACGAGGAATTTACTGCATGGCACGAATCTTGCTACGCTTGCAACACACAATTCTGGTGCAGTCCCGGCATGGCCTCCGCAGCCTTGTTGCCGGTGGAGTTGCGTCGCGATTGTTGAGGAATTGTATTCTTCGTTAACTCCATCTTGTGAATGTCAGCTTTCATCTGATCAACGTTGTCCTGTTTCTCAACAGCTTGCCGAGGCATTGTAAGGTACAGGATGCAAAAGCTGAAAGGTTTGTTGGGCCGGTCCTTGAGATCCGCAATCTGGTCGTCAATGTCGTGAAATCTGACGCGCGGCTGCAACACTCGGTCAAGTTCCATGCAAGTTTGCCAACCAATGCTGCCTCTTCGCAGCTCTTTCCTGCTGACGCCTCGCACATGTCACAGAGAAAAATGCAGGTGGAAAACACAACAAGCTTACGAAAAATCGCTGGCATGTTTCTAAGGAAGGATGACTCTGGCAGACAGACGGTGGCACGCTTTTGTGGAAAGCACACGACAGTTTTGGACTTTTTGATTCAAGGCGAACACAGGAGCTCGCATCCTGGCCGGTTGCCAGCGCGTGGACGTAACAGCTGCTCTGCTTGCATCTGCTTTCTGTAGTGGCACCCAGCTTGGAGCCTTCGTCAGGAGGCAACAAGCTGTCCCCCAGAAGCTCCAGCGGCATCCAAACCAACACCACCTCCCCATTACGTCCAACAGCATCTTCAGGATCGGGGTCGGAAGGTTACTGGCTGTGTTGCTCCTGTCTGCAGCTGCTCGGAAACAAGCATTTTAGCAGACTGTCAAGTGTCACCAAGACAGATGTTCCTGTCCATGGTAGCTTGATGTGAAGCGCTTTTTTAAAACACGCAGATGCAAAGAGGCCGCCGAGCTCAGAGGTCTTGGTAAGCACAATTAAGCCTAGCGGCATGAAAAGTCTGGCTGAGAAGCCTGACACATGTCATGATCTTTGTTTAAATCAGGTATCCTTTCGGTCTTACGCAGCCGCGGATGCGGCGGCCGCCGGCCAACCCTTCAAGGTTTGAAGCACAAGTGCTCGATGCAAAGACATGGCAACCTACAAGAAGCATTGTCGTTGACATGAGCGGATGAGGCTCTGGACCATGGTCGGGTTAGGGCTCTGATTGAGTGATTCGGTGTGCAGATGCGAAGTCATTTGGTGCCAGTTCTTAGATTGCCACATCTGTGCCCCCCTATGTGCCCAAGCATGATGCACGGTACTGTAACCTATCTGCATACGATACGCACTGAAAACACGAAGCCAGCCACAGCTCCTAGCAAAGTGCTCTCAAACACGCCGCCTCAGCCTCTCCTGCCGCTTTTCTTCTTCTTCCTGCTGCACCTGGGTTGGCTTCACTTCAGGCGTCTTTAGGCGTTAGGCGCGCATACCTCACATGCCTCACGTGCAGCCTGACTGCTCTTGCCAGAACTTCCTCTGCAATCTTCCTCTTTGCTTCCCAGTGCTCATCAATGCGGGTGGCGAACTTTTGCTGAAAGCCTTGCAGCCACGAATCCCAAGAGCCTGCCCCGGGAATGGCCAGCCCTTCTCAAAGTGTCGCAAGATCTACTCGGGAAACCGGGGAAGCACTTCAATCGAGGGACAGCTGATGGTAGAAAACAAGGCCATCTCCTGAAGAGCTTCGACAAGCAAATACAACAATCTGAGGATATTGAAAGTTCATCGTCCTTCTTCTCGATGCCACTCTTCACTTCCCGGATTCCTTCCTCAGGGAGGTTTGGGCTGCTGGCTCCCAGTGTTGAGCCCCAAAAATCCCTTGCAGGGTTGCACTCTCCAAGCCAAGGGGTGCCAACACAACTGCTGAATTGGCAGCTGTTGCCCTGTTGGACTGACAAAGCCAAGCATGGCTCTGAACCTCTGAAGCAAGATGTCTTATTCTCAAGGCCGACCAGCGAATACGCTGGTGGCCAAACCAAACCCACCAAGTCGTTTCCAGGCAAGTGACACCCTGCGACACCATGGTCCTGGGCTGGGGTAGAAGAACTTCTACTCCAGTAATCCGGGAACTGACTCTCCAACTGGAAGCGAACTTGCGCTATGCCTAAATGGACGTGGCACGCTTACAGGCCAAGATGCTGGTTGCTTTCTGCTTCAGTGCCGTCCAATTCTGCAACCTGCATTGCAGGGAATCCTACCGTAGCAGTAGCATTCCCAGAAATTGAGGGTCTAGAAAATCACGCTTCAAAACAGCGGCCGCTACGCTGTGCAGAGACAGCTCAAGGGCCTCCGTGCCGCCTTTGGCCTTCCGCTCTTGAAACCATTCATTCCTGGGCGCCCACGCTGGTGCTTACAAAGAAAGACTTGTGTCTCAGTTGTAGTACTCAACAAGGTGCGAGCAGTCAGTTAATATGCATGTAGCACGAGACTTTTCCTGACATCTGACCTGCAGGGAACCTTGTACCCGACGCATCCCAGGAATTCTCCCGAACCATGCTCACCTCCAGATATGTCGTCTCTCGCCTGCTCACTGTCGCTGCCCTTCCCGCAACACCCACCACAGCATTTAGTTGGAGGTTACTCAATGGCCCTTCGTTGTGCTTCATTGCACAGCACAGACTCCGCATGCGGACCGCCTGATGCAAATTATGTAGTCTCCCTTGACCCAACAGGCTCGTGATTTCCTTGCGTGTGTGTATGCGTGCGTGTGTGTATGGAGTCAGGCCCAACCAGAGCCCAAGAATCTGAAGCCATGCACCTTCTTCACCGTGATAGCTCTTTTTGCAGCATGTCATGTTGGATGCGGAGGAAGGAATTGTGTCGGTGTCTGGGGAACTCAAGGTTCGACTCTTCTTGCAGGTGGAGGGAAGCAGCCGGGCAACATCACGCAAGCTCGACGTTCGCAACAGCTTTGCGATCTGCATAGATGCTCTACACCAACAGTGTGCCCTCGCACAGAAAATATGACATGCCAGATCCTGGCCGGCTTCCTGCAAGATATCCGGACCCATCCGGACCCAGTCCTGTCCACAAGGCCTGCCGCCGAGGCGGACGCATGCGGATGCACGCCGCCATATACAGGTCTGCAAAGATGATCACTGAAATCTAGTGTTTCCACCCGCCCTTACCCGCACTCTAGCGTCAAGCAGATGCTTTCATCCTTAGATCTGTTGTGCAAGGCAAGGCGCAGCTCCTCTGTCAATCTCACCCGAGCCATCTCCTTCCACTCATACATGATTCCTCGCGTAACGGGAAAGTTCCGGCAGCATGCGAGCAATGCGAGAGACTTGCTTTTTGCAGCAAGGACTCGATTCGTTGCTGCTCGACCAGCATTGACCTTGCTAACAGAAGGGAAAGCCGCACAACAAGCCCTGAAGTTCTTGGAGGCCCGCTTGTTGCTCGATCTTGCTGTCGTCTGTTTCTTGCACAATGTCGTCAATGTCCTGTGGCTCGGTTCAGACTTGAAGGCCATGTATGTGAGCGTGCGTACAACTGGTTGTGATGCATTGCCAGGGCTCATGGTAGTTGATGTTCAGGAAGCCGTCCACGCTGTCATCATCACTATGATCTGCCGAGCGGTCTGTTTGTCATTGCTGGTATTGCAGTGATTTGAGCCCAGCATTTGAAAAGCCTATGCAAAAACTACGCAAGCTAAAACTGCTGTCGCTCTTTGGGGCTCTTCCATGTCAATGACTCCGTGGTGGCACCATCCCGAACCCCTTACATTGCTTCAGATAACCCACTTCTACAAAGTCCCCTGCCGCTGATACGGCCACTCTCCTCGCACGTCCCTGTGATGCATGCATTTGCAGGAACATTCGCGCTATCCACCCCTTTCCGGTCACAACGCATGCACTCAGCAAACCCAAGCCTGCTCGAGCGGAGCCGTCCTCGTTGCTGGAGTCCTCCCCAGCTTCAGCTGCTACATGAACAAGATCTGTCACAAGAGGTCTTCCTGTGGCAGAGCCGATACAATTTTCCAGCGAAAGAGACTGCTGCATTGCAGCGGCCACAATTTTCATCCCACATTGCTGCTGCTTCAAGTGCTCCCTTGCGTTGCGGCACTGGCCTCTGGAAATGTTGCCGGGTCACTGAGTGCTCAATGGCACACTTGCATCCAGCCATCTGCCCCCTACAACTGCACCACGACTCTTCTGTCCCCTTTCCTTCATGCCGGGTGGAAAATGCTTCCAGGCCAACATGATTTACAGGTGATCCAGAGGCAGGCCAGCGACTTCCTTCTCTACTGTCATGCCATGGAACATTGCGTGCATACACTCATATACATAATTATGTGTACATATATGCACACCTGCATGCTGCATTGGCACTGCTGGACCCACCGGTGTCCTGTTCGTCACCAGACTCCCTAAGTGTTCCACAGCACTGCTTTGGGGAAGTATGCAGAAAAATCGCAAATCCACTGCACAGAGTGCCACATGTGCCACCGAGCTGCACTTCACCTTGCATCCATCCAGGCATCCCTGCCTCAGCTTGAGTCGCGAAGCATTCACCATTTTGTTGCAAGATTGAAGGCAAGAAGCCAACGCTTTCTTCATCTTCGCTGGCAGTGGGGAGCTTGGTTCTGCTTCTGCCGGCTGCGCCTCCGGTCGCTCCTCCTCTGCTTGCACAGACAAGATGAGAAGAGAATTGGTCCCTGGCAGCCATGACGGATTCAAGGCAGTGTAATCTTAAGTTAGCATCCTCTCTTGTAAGCAGCAGCCAATGGTCACGAACAGCAAAGATCAGTGGAGTAGCAGATATAGAACCGAAAACACCAAAGGCAGCACGAAGAGACACTCGGAGGCATAAAATGCGGGCAAAGGGAAAAGCGACTGTAAGTGCCCTTTAACATACGTTTTTTCAACCTTTCGTCTCTTTCACGTTCCTGCTTGCTGGTTTTCTTCTACCACTGGTACCGTCCATCTTGTCGTTTAATCTGCCACCTGTACTTCTCCTGTGCCTCTTCGATACTTGAAGGTTGGGGTGGCTCTGCGGAAACGGAATATATTCTGGGGGGTTGGTAACCCAGTTCCATGAATACCATTTGGACCAAAAAAAATACGAAAATCTGTGCCTTAAAGCCTTAAATAAAGGAGGTGAGGTGCCCCCGGCCATTTCATAGAGAAACCCATCCATGAAATAAGGTGTCCATGTCACCGTCGCAACAGCCCTTCTCTCTTTCTAGCTACGTCAGGGCAAGCTGCAACACAGACTGTGAATATCTATGGAATGACCGGGACCTTCTTACATTGATTTTTAACTCCAAGGGTTTTGAGGCTTTCATTTTCAAGTCCAGGGGTTTGGAGACGCGTGATTGTTGCATGTCTTTCGGGTTTGCATTTCAAAGTCCAGGGAGTCCACGGTCTGAATTCTGGATGTCACATGAGCGTTCGCCGAAACTCCT